AAAAAATAATAATAATAATTAATGCAGCAATGGACATTGGTGTGCATGTTCTATGGTATTTTTCTTATTTCTCTAGGATATATATCTAGGAGTAGAATTGTTAGATGATAAAGTATTTCTGTTTTTAGCTTTTTGAGGACGTGTCATACCATTTTTCATAATGGTTGTACCATTTTGAAATTCCACTAGCAGTGTATGTGGGTTGCTATCAGTTGAAATTAATTCCATACCAGTAAGACTTTTGAGGTTATTCGGTTAATAGGGAAAAAGACTTCTCTAGAGTTTGAACAAAGATTGGCCTATGCTTGTGCTACTGCATGGCTGTTTGTAAATTAGCTTGGATCTCTTATTTCATGTAAACAACTAATGGGACTTATGTAGACATTCATCAGTGAAACACTGGGACCGCACTCACAGATGGAAAAGAACATGCTGAGTCTGTCCAGATCTTTACCTTTCCCTGGGTCCATTTCCACTGAAGTTAAAGAAGTACTGCTTGGGGTGGGGGTGGGGATGGGGGTAAGTGGTAACAAATCATGTATTCCTTTATTATTAAATTCCAGATCCTTAAAAAAATTTGTACATATCCTTTTTATTTTTAACCTTTAAAAATTATATAATATACCTGTAAAAATATGTACATCTCTATTATTTCTACAAACTGAATATAAAATAGTGGAATTTTCCACTCACTTAAAAAATTCTCCTTATGCATGGGTATTTATCATCCAGAACATTAGTTAATCACCCAGAAGAGTCCCACTAAAGCCCATTTTCAGTTCCTATCTCTGTACCAATACTTCAGGGTTACTTACTCTCCTGGCATCTAACAGTATGGATTGAGTTTGCCTGTGCTTATTTATCCACTCATTTACAATAAAATTCACATAACATAGAATTAACCCTTTTAAGGTATACCCTTCAGTTGTACAGCCATCATCTCTAGTTTCCAAACATTTTCATCATTCCAAAAGGAAATTTGGTACCCATTATAGGTATTCTTATGGGTAAATACTCTGACTTATTTATACTTAAAAATCTCTTACGAATAACCTCAATTCTTTGATACTTAGCCATAATTGGTGGGTTATGTGTTAATTCTATGTTAACCTTTTTGAAGAACCTCTAACTTTTCCCTACAGCATTGGGCTGCTAACCCCAAGGTTAGCATTCTCAAAAGACCAGCTGCTCCTGAGAGAAAGAAAGATAAGACTGCTCTCGAAAAGGGTTATCGCCTTGACAAGCCAGTTCTATTCTGCCCTGTAGGATTGCCACGAGTCAGAATAGACTGAATTGCAGTGAGAGAGACCAGCAGGTTTCAATTTTTCCACAATCTTCTCCCATGCTTATAGTTTTCTGTGTTTATAGCGATCTCAGTGGTTGCATATGATCTGCTTTTAATTGTAAGGTGTTGGAAATGGATTTTTTTTAAGGAATTGAACAGTAGTGAAAGGAAGGAGGAAGTTACCTCCCAACGTTTTTTTCCTCTTGTGTATTCTTTCAGAAGCAGTCTATGCTTTTAACATATATGTGTTCATATGATCTTTACTCTTTAATAAGGATATTATCTTCTATGAGAAGATACCTTTACTGAAAATTTCCAAAATTGTAGGAACATACAGCATTTATTTAGCGAAGCAATTTTTCCCCCCATCACAATAGTTTACATTGCAGTTTGGGGGAGCAAAGTTATTGTTTCTTATGTTCTAGCTAATATGAATGCTTATACATTGTGATAATTCAAATTTATTTTTAAAATAAAATAAAACTTTTATAAACTGGAAATTAAGGAAAATACTAACTGTTATTCACTTTTATTCAGTCCATTACAATGATTAGGAAGAAAATTATTCATTTTACTGGCTCTGATCAGCGAAAACAAGCAAATGCTGCTTTCCTTGTGGGATGTTATATGGTAAGTACTTTATTTTTCAAATAGGTATACAACAGTGGCACTTTACATTTACAGCTAGAGTTTTAGAATTAAATTTTTTGCCAGAATGCCTTGATTTTCTTCCCGCAGAATGTTTAGATTTTTGAAAATTAAATTGACCAACTATTTTGAAAAAAGTTCTGTTATAACTTCAGGTTAGATAGTGATGCATTCCCACGGCAGTGTTTTATTGATACATGGTCCATTTAGTGAGTTGTAAAAGCATTTTCATGGGATCAAAACAATATGGCGTTAAAAAATAGAGGAATACAAAATAGCATTGTGTGCCACATGGTTTAAGAGTGCATTGTAACTGAAACTCAGGCAGTTTTTTTTCTAAAAAATGTGCTTAAGGGCATCTCTGTTCTTTTCCTCCAAACATCTAGCAGGATATGGCTTGGCAATGTTGTAGGAAAATGGATCACCTACTATGTATGGTAATGCTCTTATGCTCTTATCAGGATCATTCAAAGTATGCTTTAGTATAGCCAATATTTACATAAGGATCATGACTTTAAATTATTGACAAATATAATGAAAGGCCTTGCTTTTTAAAGAGTAAAATTTTGTCTAGTGCCTAGTCAATTCATCAGTTTTTCCAGTCTTTTTGGTGGTAAGAAAGCGAGTGACTCAAAATAAAGAAAAGAAGAAGAAAGCTAACTACTCTATTCAGTGGAAGAGAATAGCTAGTAGATGTCTCTTAGGTAAAAAAAGAGTCATTTTTAGACCTTTTAAGATGGACATTTCCCCCCAACTTGCTACGTAATTCTATCACATCCTCTGACTTATGGTTTGAAAAAGGAGCCCTGAAGGCCTAGTGGGCTATGTGTTTGGCTGCTAGCCCCAAAGTCAGTCGTTTGAAACCATCAGCTACTCCATGAGAGAAAGATGAGACTCTACTATAACGGTTTACAATCTCAGAAGCCCACAGTTCTTTGCTATCCTATATTGTCACTGTGAGTTGGAATTGACTCAATGGCAGTAAGTTTGCTTTGGTTTTTATAGATTAATCATCTGGAATATACAGATTACACCAAAAGTTAATGAAATTGCACCTAGAATTTGTATCATTTTGCCCTTCTAAGGTTATCATTAACAACAACGATTAAAGTCTTCTTAATTTATTTATTTTCTTGTTTGTGTTCCAAAAGTAATTAAGAAAAGTTTCTGTGATAACTTGGAAGTTGTATAATGATCATTCCTTAAAGTATGAAACAGATTTTAGATTACGATTTATAATGATATTGTATGCTTATCCAGATTTTATTGATTGTGTCTTCATCTCTTCTGATGTTTCACTACAATAATAACCACCACAACAAAAACCAACACATAAAAACAAAACAAAAACTGCTCAAAGGACCTGTGCAGGATCTCAGGAAAGAATAAGAGAATGTGGGATATGGCCTGTGTAGCTGGGCATCTAGTCCTATTATTTCACCAGTCGCTGGAGAAAGGAATCCCATAGATTTGAGTAAGTAATGACAGCTTTACCAAAGAAAAAAGAAAAAGAAAAAAGAATACAGCTAGAATTCTTGTGGTCCTTAGAGTTATAAAGGGAACCCTCATGACAACTAGAAAAGTAGCTTTTGGCCTGACAGATTGTTGGAACCCTTCTTTCTCTTGCCCAGTAGTATGCAAGGGAGAACCTGGGTGGCTGGAACCCCTCCAGGTAAGGAAAGTATTCCTGAGCATAACTCTCAAAGCAGTCTGTCTCTGACTGGGCTGCTTTCGGCTAAATCATTGTGTGCGGTGTGATGGGCTCTACCAAGAAGGCAGAACCTCCAGGTCCCAGAATCTTGAACGACACCGAGAAAGTAGTAATGGACGTGGTGATAAATCAATGCCTGCAAGAAAACAAAACACTTGATAATTTTATAAATGAATCTTTAAGACAAAAAATTTAACTAGTGGAAGAAATATAACTCCTTGACAGATCTATTGAAAATTTGTTTACATATTTGTTCTCAGTTTGGGCTTGACTTTTTAATTTTATTTGTGGTTGTACTTTGGTCTACGGAAATTTATTTTCCTGTAATTACATCTATTATGTATGTATGTTTAGAATTTTCTCTCCACTTCCAGGGTTTTATACTATTAGGTTGGTACCAATTTGATTGGTTAGGTAATTTGAACCTAAGTTCTTTCCTCTGATCAGTTAAAAATCAACTTGGCAGGAAGATTACAGTTCTTGGTTGTAACAGGTCTTTTAGCCATGACTCACCAGCTAACGTTTGGGTTTGTAGGTGTAATGATACTGGATGAGGAAACAGGAGAAAAACTTTAAAGAAAAAGGGACTTTATTAATAGTAGAAAAAGAGTATCAAGATATAATATGACAACCTCAAAATATGCACAAAAGTTACTTCCTGTAAGAAAGGGAAGTTGCTTCTGATCTGAAGGAAATTAATGAAATCCTCTTAGATTATAGAGATGGCTGAGAATTCTCTATCCATTATCTGCATCCCTGATAATCTTTTTGAGTTAAGGAACTTTTTATTCCTTAATAAATAGGCTTGTTAGTGACTGACTCAGATGGTGGTATGGAACTGTTAACACAAAAACCCAGGGGAAGACTCTTTAGGAAAGCAGGTTTCCAAATGGACTAATATTCCAAATATTGATCTGCCTTTTTAAGACCTTTGAAAAAATTGTCTGTGTTTATCTTTGTATTCATGTAAGGGCATAACATTGAAAGAAGAGAGGGTATGAGTAATGCTTTGGGGCATAGGGATGAAATTTAGTACAGTGAACCCTCGTTTATCGCGGTTAATCGGTTCTAGACCCTACCGTGATAAATGAAATTCCGCGAAGTAGGATTCCTTATTTGTAAATCAAATATTTTCGTAGTTAGAGCATAGAGGACATGAAAAAACACCCTTTAGTCACCATTACACTCGTATTACCCAATTTATTAAACGAAAAAGGGAAAATACAGTAAAACATTTTGGACGTTACAATTAGCATTTATTATTTATTATATTATTTATGGCATCTAGTTTACAGTATTACATATTTCACATACAGTATTATTATACATAGTTCTTACAAATACTGTAATCAATGGCGTGCAACCTCCACGATTTTCTTGCCTTCTTTGATCATATCCAAAAGTTTTACCTTTTCCTGGGTGGTGAGCATCTTCCTCTGGCGCTTATTTTTATTGTCAGAAGGCTTAGAAGAAGCAGCTCGTTTAGGAGCCATCATAGGGCTTAGATAAAATTTCTTAAAAATCGCAAACAATTACAGTACACTGTACAAAAGCAAAAATGCATCTGATACGTAGCTCCGACACGTAGCGATGCAGACAGAAGCGTGTACAGTATGAGCCAATCAGTGGCAGTAATGACAAAGAGCATACGCTGTTACCCAAAAACCGCGATAGAGTGAAGCCGCGGAAGTCGAAGCGCGAAGTGGCGAGGGTTCACTGTACTTCCATTTTTTCATCTTAAAAACAAGTGAGACTTTACAGATATTTAAAATAAGAGTTGACATGCCTCACTTAATCCTTTGTTAGCTGGCTATATATCATATTTGGTGTAGAAAGTGACTTTTCAGCTTTCTAAACTGTATTTCAAAATATTGCATGTTATGTGGCTTGGTAAGGAGTTTACCAGTTTAATTATCTGAAATGATAGCATCTTTCATAATGAATTACAGTGAGACTAAATTTTTTTGTGTGCACCACAATAAGAACATGGAAGATAATTGAGTTTTCCTGTTATTTATTTACACACACACACACACACACACACACACTTTCCCAATAGAAGTGTGAGATGGGTGGCTGAAGCCTGTGGAGTTGGCAGGTGAGCCAGAGTGGGGCGAAGTCGCACTGACCAGCTCTGCTGCAGAGCTTGCAGGTCATTTTGTGTTTGGCCAGCCACAAACATGTGGAGCCTCAAGCAAAACAAATTTTTCCAAGTCTGCCAAAATCTGCCTCTTTCAGAGATAGAATTTAACTCAAAGATGATAAAATGGGAGGCAGCTTAATACTGGGTATAAGCCAGACTGTCAATAAAGGAAAAAAAAAAAAGCCGTGCTGTCAATAAAGAAAAAAGTAGTAGCTGCTTACCATGAATTATGCTCTTTAAAAGCCACCCTGATAAGAGAGAACCTCCTTCCATAGTAGCCCAAATCAGTGAAGCTAAAAGTTTACTAGGTCAAGCTAAAAAATCAAGTAAATATATGATGAGTTTTAAAGTGTATAATAGTTTTTGTATGAATAAACACTACATAAAGTACATACTAGTTTTTATGTTTTATTTCATTACAAAATCTCCTGAATAATTTTATTAAGTAAGTTTACTCACCTGTTCTCCGATAAATCAGTGGCCGATTTATTTGCATATGACACCAAGAAAATTTTGGATTATTTATCTTGTCCTTTCAAAGTGAGATTTTAAGTGTACAAGTAAGTACTTTCCGAAACATTCATGATTAGAGCATTTTGAAAAAGAGAAGCTTGAAACTTAGTTTTTATCATTTTGTTGTTTAAAAATGATGTCATGTATAAAACTCCTATCTAAATTTTGGGAAATTTAAATATTTCCTTTTAAAAACAAAATACCATTTTATATTTACAGAGGCAGGACCTATATACATTATATATTTATTGTTGCCATTAAGTTGCCCCTGACTCATGGTTACCACAGGTGTTACAGAACAAAACTGCTCCATGGACTTTATTGGATTTGACATTTATGGAAGCACATTTCAAATTTTAAAGAAAATACTAATAGTAGATATTGCATCATATCAGAAAACATAATAACTGAATTAACATTGATGATTCTAAAAATGACCATTGGATTAGGTGCTAACTATTTGATCTCTTTAATATACAGTTTTCTCCTTAAAATTTAAAGTTTTTAATTTTATAACATATTTTTAAGTTTTTAATCTTATCATTTTGTATTTTATAACTTAATATTTTAAAATGATGCTATTTTAGCACTATTGATAGGTATAGTTCTCCACCC